AAAAAAAAAAAAAATCAGTGCATGCAATTCAAATACAATTCATTCAGTAAATACTTGTGTCTACTATGTAGAAGGCACTATATCTATACATGGGGCTTGGGATAACTAATTCTCAGTTCGGTTATTAGGTGTGTGACCTTGGGAAAATTACTTAACTTTTCTACATCTCGGTTTCCTGATCTGTGAAACAAGATCTGTAGCACCGTGGTAAGGGTTGAGATGCGGTACTCAAATCATGTGGAACATAGAAGGTGCCTAACAAATGCTGTCTGTCACCCTCTGCCCTTTTCTGCAGAGAACTTATAGATGCCCAAATAGAAATATTTAAAACAATTCATATTTGTGAATTCATGCATAAAATATCTATATTAAAGGATTTATCAATTAGTTTTTGTTGCAGATTATAACCACTATTCAATTGTTAGTCTTTATAAAGGAAAACTTGCAAAATTCAACCAGTCCTGAGTTGAATTTGATTCTGCAATGAACTATAGAAGGGCAGCTCTGCTAAGCAAATAATACAAATAAGATGGCAAAGGACTGTTTCCCCCATCTACCTAACACAATCTCTTGAGTAAATAACTTTAAACTGTTTATTCAAAAATAACTTCAGGTTTACAGAAAAGTTGCAATAGTATACCTTTTTTATCTATATTCACTAATTGTTAATATTGTCCCATTTGCCTTATCATCTATCTAAATACAGACTTTACTTTTTTCCTAATTTATTTGCGAGTAAATTACATACATTATGCTCCTTTATCACTAAATACTTGAATTTCCTAAGAATATGGACAGATTCAAAAAATTGATTACCAGCTTCAGGAAATTTAACATTGATATGACATTTTAAAATCTACTATCCATAGTCTAATTTGTCAATTGACCTAGCACTGTCCTTTATAACATTTTCCCTCTATAGACCAAATCCAGACCAGAATCGCCTATTGTGATTGGATTTACTGTCACAGTAAATATCTGATATAGTTATTTACAAAATGAGTTTCTCAAAATAGATTAGAAAATCAAACTTGGACTACAAAAATGCAGTTAAGTTCTGTTCCAGCATTTTGTGTTCTTTACTTTTCACAAGAAATAGTTGTTAGTAATACTATTTCTACAATTCCAAAGTTATCATAAGTATTTAAAATGGAGAAAACCTTAACCTCATTAAAAATGAAGGCAATGAATACCAGTTCCAGCCAAATTGTTGGGCCTTTTTTATACATCTTTGGTACTATCTCTCAGAACTTAGGACAGGTCAAGAAGGACACGCTCGAAAGTGGTTACTGTATTTACCTAGGGGTTAGTGAGAACATTGGCTGGGAGGGTAAAGAGGAATTTTTGCTTTTTACTCTATGAATTTTTGTATTGTTTAGATTTTTTGACAACGAACACACATTTCTTATTTAATAATAAACAAGGGAAGGCAAAGAAAACTAGATGACGGCTTGGATTCCTGATGTGTGGGGTTAACCTGAACATCGAAGTTCATCTGTACTTTGCTTTTCTTCGTCAGAAGAGACGGTGACACCTTCCACTAACTTATGCGAGGAGACGTCAGAAATTAATTAGTCGCTAAACTACTATTTTAAGGAGAAACAGTCAACAGAAATGGTTCTCATCGATCAGAAAAACCTCTCACGTTAACTGGCTGGCAGTTCTAAGGTTAACGGTGTGCCCTGAAAACCAGAGGTTCAAACGGAACCGTCCTGGATTTTAGAGCATTCATTCTGCAGCGGGGAACAGAGTAACCAATGAAAGCTAGAAGCAGCTTGGAAGCAGGGGGAGAGAACGGATGGCTCCAGGGCGCGTGTTAAATCAAGCAGGCTGTCCGGGCTGTCAGGGGGATGAGAAGGACGCGGGTCTCCGCGCCAATCCGGGTGGAACCCAGGGCAGCGGCCGGAGGTGTGCCCGCATCGGCCAAGCTGCCGTCCAGGTCCGCGAGTGAGCGAGATCGCGAGCGCAGGAGCGGGGAGAGGGCAGCTGCGGAGGCAGGAGGCGGGAAGCCGGATCAGTCCCTTACCGAGCGCTGGGCACGTCCACCGGCCCGAGGCCGCCGCCGGGGCCGGCTAGTACGTCCCCGCCGTATTTCTCCTCCATCTCGGGGCTCAGGAACCACCGCCGCTGCCCCTGCCGCCGGGTCTCCTCATGTCTCACCGCTGCCGCGGAACTGCGGACGCAGGCGCATCACTCTCCCATGGCAGCGGCCTCGTCGGGTCCCTGCAGGCCGGGCCGCGGCTGCCGCTGTCCCTGGAACCGGCTTCCAGGCACACGCGCGTCGGGACTAGGCCGCGAGCAGTTCCGGCAGCGCCAGGTTCTCAGGAGTCGCACCGGTGCGGACGTTGCCAGGCCACGTCATCCGGCCCAGCAGCCCTCACTCTCGGGAAGTGGCCAGCCCCGCGCCTGCGCACAACACAATTCTCGCCTCCCATTGCCCTTCCTTAGGCTCCTCCCACCGCGGGGTGATTGATCAAATCCTCGTCCGCTATAAGCCCCTCCTATTGAAGCGGCCCCTGAGCTTACTTGTCCCTGCAGCGCCACCTATGGGCCTTCAGGGATACAGCGGGTTCTCATAGCGAGAGGGAGGACCAGGCTTTCTTTAGGGTTATTTTTCCGTTGCTAAAAAGTTAGGAACGTGGGATCCTGTGTCTGTCTTCGTTTGAATCCCATACCTGCTACTAAGTAATTGTGTAACTTGGACTTTCTACACCTCAATAGGTTTGTTGGGAGGATATGTGTTAGTATGTGACAACTGTCTAGAACAACGAATGGTATACCATAATCAATAAATACCAGCCATTATTAATACTCATAGGGAAATTGGAGGATTGAGATTTGGAAATGAAAATGGGTTTGGAGCAGTGTAAATTATGATTAATTCATAATACTTAATTTGAATAGACATAAAGAGTCTTAGTAACATAAAACAATGAGGAATCACAGTCTGCCTGCTGGGGCTTTCTAATCTATTGTAGAAAACACTTAGCGATTTGAGAGCAAGGGGTGCTTGGCACAGATGCTAATGTTTCCCAAACAAGGTGTGACATATGTATAAGAAAAGACTCTTTGATAGACAGAACCTGACCTGGATCTCGGTAAGGTTTTGAACATGGGAGAAAGGCATAGTGGGAAGATGTATCCTATGTGTAGAACACAGAGGAAGGCAGGACCTTTAAAATATAAAGATGTGTATTTTTTTATTTTAGACAAAAGAACAAATATACTATATTTGCTACATATTCCTCATATACATGGGAGTTGTAAATTCAGAATGTTGTATAGCATTATGTTTGTTTATTGAATTTATACGACAATGTGCATATCTTTTGCCTGCTTCAGGTGATTGGTACTGATTGTCCCAGAGTGGGGTGGATCAAGTAAAGTCCACCAAAAAGTGACATTCTTGCTTCAGTTTCTCCAAATGACTTTTTTTTGGTACTAATTTTTTTGGGTAGCAAATTCTTTGTAAAATTCTTATTTTCAAATCAGAATGGCAGTGGAAACAACTAACTACCGTGTTTCTAGAGCTAGTTCCAGTCCTAGTTCTAGAGAACTAGGTGAAATGTCATGTATAAATTAACATTAACTTTCATCCCAAGTGGAGCTTCAGTTCGGTTAATATTTCTGATTTGGTTAGAATCATGACACTCTTTTTTTAGGCCAACATAAGTGCATTCCCTTCAAATGTGAGGGAAGAGTGTGTGCGTGTGTGCGTGTGTGCGTGTGCGTGTGCGTGTGCGTGTGTGTGTGTGTGTGTGTGTTGGAAGGAAAAGTGTTTATGTTTTCTTTCCTCTACTCACTTATCAATCCATTCAAGCTGGCTTCTATATTCATCACTTCTCTGATACAGCAATCTCATGGATATTTTTCAACAGTATATTACCTCACCTCTCTATAGCTTTCAATATAGATGATCTCTCCCTCCTTCTTGAAGCATTCTCTTTCCTTGGTTACAAGAACCCTGCATTTGGTTGTCTCAAAGGAAGCTCAAGTTCTTTATGTCTAAAAATATATGTGTGATCTTTCTCTTAAACCTGATCCTCTTCTAATGTTCTCTATCTCATTGGTTGGCACCATTTATTTAGCTTAGCAAACCAAAACTTAGGCATCATCTTTAACATTTCCTTTTCTTTTTGTTCTATATCCAATTCATTGCCAAATTGTATCAATTTTTCACCTTGCCAGTATTTCTTGAATCAATCCCAAATTTTCCATCTCCATCACCACCATCAAGTCTAGGCTACCATCATCTTTTGTTTAGACCACTACAGTAGCCTCTTTACTAGTCTTTCCAAGTTCATTCTTTCTCTTTTCCAATGTATTTTCCACATGTGTGACAATAATAGTAATATTTTCCAAATGCAAACCTTATAATGCACTGCACTCCACCCTCCAGCCTTCCAGTGGCTTTCCATTACTCTTGAGACAAACTCAAATCATTAACATGGCCAACAACATCCTATATGGGCTTGCCTCAACTTATCTTTTCAGCTTCATCTCAATTTAAACTGCCTCTGCTCTCTGCGTTCCAGTCACCCTTTTTTCCCCTTCAATTGTATTGTTTATCTTCTAATAAAAGACTTTGCTCAGACTCTTTTCCATGCCCAGAATATCCCTTATGTCAACCTTTGCTCATTAAAATTCTATTCACTCTTTACGTTGCAGATTCAGTTCTCCAGGGAGCAGACTCTGAGAAGGACCTTAGTGTGCAAGATATTTATTTATCTATCTATCTATCTATCTATCTATCTATCTATCTATCTATCTATCTATTTACAGGATATTTATTAAGGAGTGCTTTTGAGACCAACAACTGTGAAAGGGAGGGGAAAAAACATAATTAAGCAGAAGGAGAAGTTGAGAAGTGGTGTAGTCCAACGAAAGCCTCAGTGGACCTAATGGAGCCCTCTGGAGCTACAATAGTCCCTGAGAACTATCTTACATGTTTTCCCATTAAAGTTCTGTATAGCTCCAGGATCTAATCAGTCGCATTTAACTGTCATGTCTCATTGGTTCTCTTTTATCTGGAGCAGTCCTGGTCTCTCCTTTTTTCATGACCTTGACATTTTTGCAAAAGACAGTACAATTCCTTTGCAGAATGTCCATAAGTTTGGGTTTGTCTAATGTTTCCTCGAGATTGAATTTAGGATATAAATTTTGGGCAGGAATACCATAAATGTAATTTTATATTCCTCTCAGTGCAGCACTCTAGAAGGCACGTGATGCTGATTTGTTTAATTACTGGTGAAGTTAACTTTTATCACTTGGTAAGATGATGTCTACCAGATTTTGCAATCTAATGTTAATGAATATTTTGTTTGGAGATACTTTGAGACCAGGTAAGCATTCTTTTCCTGTTCATACTTTCACTCATTTATATTACCTCACCTCTCTATAGTGTCCATTTTGTACCTTGACCAATACAATTATTACTATAATGATTTCAAAATGGTAATTGTTCCTTCTAAATTTAATGAATTTACCATCTACTGTCAGGTAAAATTTTTCTGTTCTCCTATTTATCTAATTATTTATGTCAGTATGAGCTCATGAGTTTCTATTTTATTTACTAGGTTATAATTAATTGCCAGTGGGAGGACCAGATATTTTCACATATCCTCATCATTCTTTTAGAATTTCCATACTTTCTGGTACAAGACGTTTCAGATTCATTACATACTTTTCCTACCTTAGCTCTGGGATTAGCTATTACTCCAAGAAGCTCTGATTCCTTTTGAGGAAAATGGTATTTAGAAAGCAAGGTGTGGGTGTTGGGTATGTTCATTGCTGCTGGTGTACACACTGCTCCTTTGACCTCTCAGTGAACAGAATTGGGAATTATGTATGCACACATACACACATCTAAGGTTGTGTGTACATAGATATATCTTTCTATTTATCATCTATCTATCAGAAACCAGGAGTTTGTACTGATTCCTCTAATTACACCCTAACATTACGTGTTTCATCCTTGCCTTTTGTCTTTCTGTATTTTTACCTGTCTTCCCTGATAGTAAGAAACCTGGCTTCCATTATCCTCAATGTGTTGACTTATTTGCTTAGTCCTCTTGTATGTAAGCAATCTCCTGACCATATGGGCCATCTTCTTGTCTTCAGCACTGCTTATTTATGCTGGCCTGTGCTGGCTGAGCCTTCTTCTTCATCCTAGCTATTATTTTTTTTAAATCTAGTTTTGACTCATTTGCACACAGTAACAAGTATGGAGATGAAACATTTTCTCTCAACTTAACTTTCAGGCAACTGGAAGATCAAGAAAGGGAACTTTTTGGGAGGTTACTATGTACCAAGAATTCTCTTGTTCTGGTTAATGTTTAGTAGTGTTTACCATATGTCAGGTTCAATTCTAGGTACTTGGGTTTCCCAGAAGCAAACTCTGAGATAAGGATTTGTGTGAAAGTGATTCATTAGTAAATATTACCAGGAAAAACTGGTAGGAGAGTGGGAAAATGGGACAAGAAAGAAAGATAAGCAAGGGTGTGATGTCAGGCAAAGTCTCATTGGGGAGCTTGGATACTGTGAAGGTCACATCTCAGAGGATCCTGACCAGGGGCTAAGTTTCTTAGTCCTTCTGGGATGCTATAAAAAAAAATACCGTTAACTGGGGGTCTTATATAAATAATGAACATTTATTTTTCCTGGTTCTGGAGGCTGAGAAGTTTAAGATCAAGGTGCCAGCAGATTTGGTGTCTGGTGAAGAACCACTTCCTGGTTCTTGGATGGCACCTTTTCACAAGGTGGAAGGGGGAGCTAACTCTCTGGGGTCTTTTAAAATCTCAAGTTGCCAACAGCACTTTATTTTTTCTTTTCAACATCCTGATCTGCAGCTTCTTTGGACCTTTTTGCCTGGATGCCAAAGAGCGAGACATTATTCCTGGCCATGCGAAGACTGGCAAGCACCTTGAAGTTCTTCTCTGTGGTGACATGACCGTGGCTTTCTCCATCTTGTAGACGTTCCATATGGGCATGACTGATTCTATCAGCTGGTTAGACAATTTGGTTCCTCAGCAGAGCTGTCTCCCTTCTTGGGGGCTGAGGGCTTCCCGGAGAAGAGGATGACCTTGAAGTGACACTCCTTCAGCCATGGCATATTAGCCTGCAGGGACTCAGAGGTCTTGCTCCAACTCTTCAGATCCATTGAAATCTCAGTGGTCCAGGTCACCTTCTTGTGGATGCTGGCCACCTATAATTCTTCTAAGCTGAAGCCCCTGCTGGATCTCACTTTGGTATGGTACCTCATCATGGGGCATCTCACTATAGATTGGATGGGTTGGGGCACGGAGGCGAGTGATGCCCTGTGCTTTGGCTTGCTGGGCCTTGTCTCCACAGATCTTTTGGGGCTTTTGGGTCATGTCATTTCATTTGGGCACCATGACTGCTGC